AGAATTTCTTAATTTTAGAGTGTCTTACTTATCAAAGTACCTATGGAAATAATGCCCCTTTTTATTACTGAAAACCCACAAATACCTAAGTTTTAGGTATTTTTATTGTAAGAAAATGGCTTTTATGCTTAAATGACTTCTATGCTTTTCATTCCTGACATTTCTGGTTAACACTATGTAAGTACCTCTTTCTGGGATGACAGAATACACCAAAATAAGGCACTGGTAAGAAATACGGGCTGAAAGCAGAGGCAGGAGACATGACGAGAAACGCAGACTGAAACAAAAGGCTGCTTATGGAACTTAATGGCAAACTCTTCCACTTTCTCATGAATGAGTGTTTAACAATGCTCTACTCCACTGGATAGTCATTCTGCTGTTGAAATCACTAATAGAAACAATGGTCACAAAGGAACGTTAGCCAGTTTGACAATCTATTTCTTGGAAAAGGGGTCGGTGCTAGTCTGGCAGGTGGCAGTCTCATAACTAAAATAGTTTCCTGTTCCAGTAATAAACACTCACCTTTTTCTCCTTCTTGCCAAAGCTGAGGCCAGGGGTCCCTTTCTCAACAACTACACATGAGATGCCTTTGGAGCCTGGTCCTCCGGTTCGGCACATGACCACATAGATATCCGACTCACCACCTCCACTAATGAAGGCCTGTGGGTTGGAAAAGGAATGTTCAGGGTTCAGGGGATGCTAGAGTTCTTGGATCCTAACATCTGCAAAAACCACTGAGGTCCTCCAACAGGATACTAAGAGATATGCACAATCAGAGAGAGAGAGAATAGAAAGTATCTGCATTGACTTTGGGGAGTTGGGGATCTGGCTGATGAGTATATACAAAGGACAGACAAAAAGGAAAGCAATTATTTGGAATCAGATCCAAAGAGAGAGAATAAACAGAGGAGGTGAAAAAAGGGAAACGGGTTTCCCTTTTTAGGGAACCATCCCTAAAGATGTTTCCTTGTGACATGCAAAAGTCCTATGAGAACATTAACTTGAAAGATGGGAACTACATAGACATTCTGAGATGAGTCTATCACATGGTTTGGTACCTTAGAGCCATTAAGGATATAATGATCTCCTTGTTGTTTAGCGGAGGTCAAAAGGGAGGCGGCATCACTTCCACTTCCTGAGGCAAGAAATAAAGTAGGCAGAAAGGGTCAGTGAAGTCAGGGGAGCCCCAGTTCTGTTCCTTTTTCTGATAAATCTTCCCACAAAATGGTTCAGTTTGGTAGTTTAAGATCCAGACTGACAAAGGCATGTATTACACTTGGTGGAATAACATCCACCTATCAGATCACTTCTCATCTCTCAGCATGTTGGCTCAGAAACATGAGTATTGTCCATCCCCCAGGCTGTTACCCCAGAACCAACTTTCTCAACAATCCATGGTCAGACATGTCAATGGGCTGGCGAGGAACTCATGGTTTCACGGCACCTCTCTCCCGACTAACTCTCGCCTGGGGGATGGCACACCCACCTGGTTCAGTGAGGCAGTAGGAAGCAAATTTCTCCATCGTGCAGAGTGGGGGGCAGAATGTGTGCCTCTGCTCCTCATTTCCAAATGTGTCAATCATCCAGACACACATGCTGACAGGTACACCAATAGGAAGAAAAGACCATTGTCAGGAACAAAAATAGGAAAGGAAAGGGAATTCTGAGGAAAGGAAAGGGAATTCTACAGAAAGGAGAGCCAGCAGAGTAGAGTGGAGCAGAAGCAAAAAGTAGGAAGGGATAATAATTATGACTAAGAAGCTCTGGCGCTACAGTAAGGTGACCAGACGTCCCGCTTTTGGCGAGACAGTCCTGATTTTTAACAATTTTTCCTGCGTCCCGTGGCATTAAAAAAAAGTCCCGATTTTTGGAAAGAATGCACGACAAGCTAGGGTATACGGTTTTTGGCTGCCATGTGGCTATTTCGCCAGGATATGAGTTTCATCAATGGTGTCCCGCTTTTGTCCCGCTTTACCAATGTTAAAATCTGGTCACCTTACTCTACAGGGAAGCGCTGGATTAAAACACAGCCCTGGAATAGGATACCCAGAGACAATCAGGGCCACGGCATTTCTCGCTTGGATGTGGATGCCACTTTCAATTATGTTGCGTGAATGTCCTGATAACCAGAGTGAGCTGTCCTCTGTGCTACTGCCCTCAGTCACTCGAGTCTCCTCTCTGCGTGGAAGGAGAGGCTAATGCTCTGTGGGAAGTCTAGTGGTACTAGCTCAGTCTAGGATTTGGGAGAACTCTGGCAAACCAATTCTCTAAACAGTGAATAAGACGGCTTCTTCAAGTCCAAGAGGCAGTAGAAGATTTAGCATGTACTGCTTCCTCAAAAGCAATTAGCCTAAAAAGATACATCCCTTCCCCAGGAATTCGAAAGTTCCCAATTAAACTGTGAGCACTACATTGTGCTCCCCCATCTTGGACACTCACTTGTGGATACTTATGTAGGCTGTGGTGCTGGTGCAGCCTGTGGCCAAGGCTTCAAAGATGACAGAGGTATCAAGCCGTGACAGGCCAGAACCACCCACATCTGTTCGTACATAGACCCCTCCAAAGCCTAGTTGGGCTGCTCTCCGCATTACATCCACTGGGAACAGTTCCTGTGTACAAAAGGCAGCAAGCTTGTCAGTAAGTGATCCAGGGTTTTCTTAGGAATGCACATGCTGGGGATTAGGATGTTTGCATTTGGGGGAGAGTATGAGTCAGAATCAGCTCCAGGCCACTTAATAACAGGAAGTCTTGTAAGGTGCCTAGTTATCATCTTACAGTGATGTCAGTTAAAATTCTGGCATGATAATGCTTTTGTCTGTGGAGCTACCTAAGGAGAGTGGCACAGTGCGATAAAGGCTGGGCTGCTGCTCCTTGGGAGAAAGAGGGGTTGTCTGCTCTGTGAAGACTACAACCTTGGAAACCCTATGCAACGATTCTGTTGTGTAGCTATGAGTTGGAATTGTCACAATAGCACTGGGTTTGCTTTGGTATTAAGCCTAGAACTAATCCAGCTTTAAGGATGTCTAAGTCCTTGTTCAGTTAAAAAAAAGAGAAAAGGAGAAAGATACAAGATGATTGAGTGTTCTATGACAGGATTCAGTTCATTACCAGGACACTCACCAACAGAGTTAGGATCTTGAGGAGGTAAAGGTCATGTATGCACGAGGCACTCCCCCCTGCCCGCCCCCCAAGTAAAATTCTTACCTTCTGGTCCCATTCTGCCATATGTGGAGCCATCTCTCGGGCAGCAAAGTCAAAGGCCACTTTCTGAAATTCTTTCTGCTCTTCATTTAGTCCAATGGACGCTGTGGGCAGATAGCATACACTCCGTTTTAGGGCAAAGTCAAGGACAGAAACCCACAAACAAGCACAGTGTGGCACAGTGTTACGCCAGTGCTTGTTATTCCACATGGGAATAGGTTCTGTGTTAATGAGACAGGATTAGCATGGAGTGTATCTTCAAACAATCTCCTTTTAGATATAAGACTAAATACGTCAAGAGAAAGAGGAGAGGCGAATACAGGTGCCAAGACACACAGAGATCTCCGAGGAACCAGGAGGCAGAAATTGAAAAGAGGAGAACTTCCCCGCCAGAGCCAACAAAGAATGGCGTCCCCTTGAATGGGGCTCTGAGTCTGACTTCCAGCCTCCGTAATGATGAGCAAATAAGTATCACTTGCTCAAGGTACCCACTGGTCGTGTTTCTGTTAAAAGCTGCACGAGACAACTAGCACATCCAGAGACAGCAGTCCCCTGTTAAACAGTCTTTTACAGAACCAGGAGAGCATTTTCCAGCACTCGTCAGTGTCTCTGACAGTGCAGGGGCAGTTCTGACCGGCATCCGAATTTACCAGGGCAGTATGTTCTCTGACATCTCTACCTTAAAAACCAAAACAGAACCCATAGCTATCAAGGCAATTCCAACTCAAAGCAACCCACTATCCAGTTTTTGAGGCAGCAAATCTTGAAAGGAGCAGAGAGAGCCTCATCTTCCCCCTGTGGGGTGGCTTTGGGTGAGCAGTCCCACACATCCCGTAGTCATTTACGAAAATACAGCTGAGGCCCGGGCAGACAGTGAGAGACCAGCAGTGAAATGGATGAGGCAGAGGGGGTGCAAACAGGCGTTGTCCCGCACGGCGGGTCAGCGGGGTGTAAAGATAATGGTCACATGTTGCCACATCTTTCCTCCTGCCTAACCTCCTTTGTTCTCATCTTCAGCACTCACCTTTTACCTCTTCCTCCCCCACACAATAAATAAAACCACACACCGCACCTCAAATGGTGCTAAACAATCCCGCCCCCCTTCCTTTGGGCTGCCCTATTTTTTCCTGCATAGGTGTCCCTCATGCAACTTTGGTGTATATTTTTATGTCCATATCTATCTGTGCCAACACAGTCATTTTCTAGAAGGCAACTGAAACTGTGTTTTACGAGAAAGACAGAAGTACAGGCACATACAGGAAAATTTGAATCACAGTATCACTACTTTGCAGATTTTAGTTAAGTAGCCGTTTTAAAAAGACTGCACAGAGTCAAGTAGGGCTGAAATGGAAAGCATCTAGCTAGTTTCAAACTCCCACCTCAGGGCCATCCAGTCGATTCTGACATACAGTGACCTGGAAGGAGAGGAAAGAACTGTCCCTGGGGGTTTCCAAGACCGTAACTCTTTACAGAGTAGAAAGCCTATCTTTCTTCGGCTCTTACAGAGTAGAAAGCCTATCTTTGAAGCCGGTGGTTTCAAACTTGTGACCTTGAGGTTACAGCCCAACATGTAACCAGGATGCCAATTATTTTTCATGTTTTGCAAGAGGATGAAGACTTCTAGCTAGATACTGCCAGAAAATAGGGAACCTAGACAAAACTTCTATGAATGGCAACCATCCTTTAGGCAGGGCAAGCACAGAGAATCCAAACATGATAGGATCATGAATTCTGGAGGTCAGAGAAGAGCCGGGGGATCAGCAACCTGTACAGAACAAATCAGATCCAAGCAACTTCCACTTCTCTTTGTTGTCTCTTAGGGAGTTGTTTTGAAAGACTCACCATTCTTAGGTGTGTTAAGAAAAAGAAAACATTGTTTGCTTTGACTTGGAGAACAATGACTCCTTTAGGTGCTGTGGTGGCTATGACAATGCAAAAGGGAGGAGAGATGAATGCAAGGGCTCTGCTATCCTCTGTTACATGATGAATTGTGTCCTCCCACATATGTGTTGTAAGCCCAACCTCCACAGCTGTAGAGAGGCACGGGACCGCTAACTGTGAAGCTAGTGTTTCAAGCCACCAGCTGCTCTGAAGGAGAAAGATAATATGGTCTACTCCCTTAAGGATGTATGATGATTCTGGACTCCTCTAAAGGGTCATGGAGTTTGAAACAACTCAATTGCAGTGAATTTTATTTCTGTAAAAAGCCCTCGTGCTATGATTATAAATCTCACTTAGAAATTGGTATTCTTTGTTCTATCAACGTGGCATTAGTAGTTGAGGGGTTTTTTTAATTAAAAGATCATTTTATTGGGGGGCCCTTACAACTTTTTTTTGTGTAAGAAAGAACTTTATATCAAAGAGTAGTTGTCTATTAAGAAAACATCCCAGCCCAGTCCAGTTCAAGTCCATAAGTCTGATATTAGCCCATATACAAAGTGTATAAATTTCTCTTCAAACTCATACAACACATGCAATGATGCCTAATGCAGGAAGATCACAGGCCAGTGGGTGTAAAGTCTTGTGGATCCAGGGGCTGGAGGTGGTAGCATCTCAGCACTGGCATGGGTCTCCAAGTGGTTCCTCTAGCTCCAGGGCTCTCGCTCCACCACCGTAGCTCCATGTTGCTTGTCAGCAGGAAGACGGAGCATAGAGCATGTGTCTGGCCTCCAATGAGCTATTTTTTTGGACTGAGAAATTTATTTATTTATTTTTTAATCTTTTGTGCTTTTATTTTTTTTAACATCATTTTATTGGGGGTTCTTATAATTTTTGTTACAATCCATACATCAATTTTATCAGACATATTTGTACATATATTACCATCATTCTTTTCTAGACACTTTTTCTTTTTAGGTCTTCTTTTTTTT